AGTTACACACAGTCTTCAAATAGAACCATAAACTTGTAACCACTAACTACACAGTTACACAGTTTAGTTCTAAATGAAAACTCTGTGTAACTGTGAAGTTAGTAGTTACAAGTTTGCATCAGTATGCAGGGCAAGAGTTGTACAATGACTGTTTTTTGATCACTGATAAGGAAAAATTGCTTCTTAAAAGTGAGAAATCACACAAGACAACAGCTCATTTCCATTTTCCTGCATACTATCTTTGTGCAATTATTTTACAGAGCCATACTAGAACCATATAACTGTATTTTCTAGTTGATTAATAAGGTACACTAGTTGTTATGGGTAGCTTAAGATTTTAAACCGGTTTCTTTGTACTTGCATATTCTGGTCTCTGGTTTTTCTCTTCTTTTATACAGTTTACAGAAAATCATATTCAACTTCCAAGCAGGTATTTAAGCTGCTTTATTAACAAACAGTTGTTATTACAGCTAGTAAACCAAAAAGGTTTGTCTTTCTAGAACACAGAACATATTTTTCATTAATAAGTTACAATTCAGTTTCCAGGTATGAGATAAATATCATAGATAACTTGTTCAAGTAAAAACAGTGTGGTTTGTTGACTCATGGTTTGCGTAATTGTAAAATTGAAATGGCCAGGAAATAAGCTGTCAAGTTTTATGTATGTGTGGGCTGGATTCGTTACAGTAGGTATCCGTGATTTGTTGGCAATAAATTTTGACAATAAACAAACAGCACATAGCCCACTTCTTTAAAATAATATATATTAAAACAAATCAAACGTATATACAAATGTTTGTTACACAATTAATTATCACAGTTGTACCAAGAGGTTGGTTCAGTTACTTTAGAACACAATTGATGAGACAAATTATTTCTTCTCTACTCTATTATTACAATACAATCTGTGATAATTTCACTTTAGAAATCACCACTATATGCCCTTTATGACTATACTCATAATCACTCAATCTAAATCTATCAAACTTTGTCTAACTTAACTTGAACTACATTTTGTACTCATATTTGTAGCCTGACCGGGGACTAGAACATTCTACACACAATGATATATTATGGTGCAATAATGCTCAATCAGAACAACAAGAAAAACCTAGAAGATTCTAATAACATGATGCAATAATACAACAAGTGCCAATTCACAACAGTTGAACAACATAACTGTGTACAAATCATATGTTGTGTTGTTCAACTGTTGTAAATTGGCACTTGTAGTATTGTTAG